CATTGGTTTTCATCTTACACCAGTGCATAGTATTTTATGGATAAAAGATTTGACCAACCATTGTACTATCATCAGACTTTTATCAATATAACCACCGATATTGACGAATCGGAGAAATTAAAAATGTAACTCTTCCCTTGACCACTGTAGAGTGTACTGTGTACATGTATTTCGTAAAGGACGCGTGGAAAGCAAATTTATATTTAAAAAAAAAACAAAATCCTTTAGATGGGGAACCATGACAACAAACGGGTGGCTACGAGATTCGGCCAGGACATGGTCGACCCTATGAACACGTTGGCGACGATGTTGCCGGGCACGGCGATCACGTACAACGGAGAGGAAATCGGTATGGCCGACGGCACGATAAGGTGGGACCAGACAGTCGACCCGTTCGGAAAAAACGGTGGTATGGTCAGATACGAGGAGAACTCGAGAGACCCGTTCAGGACTCCATTCCACTGGAATGATTTTCAAAACGCCGGTAAGTACGCGCGTGTTCGGGTCTCGAACGACATAATTTCTTTTTTATCGAATTTCTGTACGCATACCTACTCGGAGGAATCGACGAATAAAAACCTAATGAATCGTGTTCCAAGGCTTTTCGACGTCTCAGCGTACGTGGCTCCCAGTGAACAGCAACTATTGGTATCTCAACTTGGCCTTTCAGAAGGCATGCTTCAGAAGCCACTATCAGACGTACAAAACCCTGTTGCGACTCCGTTCGTTTCCGACAATAGCCCAAGGAAATCTCACCATACACACGCCGTCAGATTGGGTTTTGATTTTGACTAGGTACAGTATTAATTATTTCGTCATTGTCGTTGTTTTTGAAAATGGTCTCAGAACCGGTGTTGGTGAGAACACGTTGGTTGGCCTTAAYCAAACAAAATTAATCGCATTAATTTCAAGTATTTCCGAGACGAACAATCACGTTGCTAACAGCAATAATGGTTATTACAGGTAMATTTTTGTTTAGGTAACAATTGATTAGATTTTAATCTCTGTTTATTCAACTAMGCGAATTCGACAAATAAGCGTAGGATTCCGGTTCTGACTGTATTGTTTGTTTTAATTAGCGATTCGTTAGTTTAATTTGTATTTATTTTGTTCAACAAGGAGTGTCACTGTGGATAATTACTACTGTCCATCGTAATATTTGTATTGTTATTATAAGTTAAAACA